ATAAATTTTTTAAAATATGATTTATACAACTACAGAAATTTAGAGTATTTACTCAATCAAAAATAATCAAGAACTGAACTGGTATATTAGCTATATATCTATTATCTACAGAACTACAGGCAGTCAGGCACACTGAGTCACTGACAGTACTGACTGTCACTCTGACTCTGTCTCTGTCAGACTGTCAGTAGCTACTGGATAGCGTAGTAAGCGTACTGACAACTGAAACTGAAGTGTAAGGAAAAGGAAGAATTTTTCATGAGACAATGTTAATGTGATTATGGGACTCTTTCTCAAATCGTTAATCTGGATTCTTTCTGAGTCATTGTCAAAGAATCAATGACTGCCTCAAGCCTCATACCTTGTCATTGATACAAGTGCGGCTTAGCGCGCCGAATTTGCGTCGCAATGCAAGGTGTTGAAATTTATTGTTAACATTAGATAAATTTGACCAACAGGAGACACGTGCACTGAAAAATTTCGTGACAATAGGCATATCTTTAATAATGACGCCTACTATGAGCAATATTGGCCGCCAACCGACTACCGAGCCGAGGGTAGCGCGCCGAATATACAGAGAGGCACTAGGCTGACTAGCACATCAAGGGAAGGGTCAGGTGAGACATGGAAATTGACATACCTACCTGGTGGTGGTAACCTGTTCTGTTCACAGAATTAGCGCCCACTGATCGAGCTCTTGAAAATTTAGCCAACAGTTATGTACTGCCTCAAAAGCGGCGAGTTGGCTTAGTAAAAACTGAAGTTTCCGTGGCATAAAAGTTCCTTTCTCGATTGATTAGACTTAGAGACACACTGCCACCCCTCATACACGACACTGTATACAACTGCAACTAACGACTAACTACTAACGTAGCTACGCCGCTGTCCACGGTCAAAACAAACGAGAATAAAGTCAAAAATCGGCAATAGATGGCGCTCCTAACATTGCAGACGATTTATTTATCCTACGGAAAAATGTTTTACAAGTCTTGCGAATTGCTTTTCTTATTTGAATATCTTTACCGAGCTTTGGTGTGGTCAAATATTGAGATTATTTGCTAATCATAGCTCATTTGGACGTGCCAGGTGAACCTAATTCATAACCACACTGCTAACCTAATTACATAGTACACTTCTCTAAACCAAAGTATTAAGCGAAAACAACACTGGCAGAAGGATCCAACTTTAATATAATTTAGCTACAGTACGTGCAAGCGTAACTTTCAGACTTTTTTCAGGAATAAAATGTTTAGTTCATTATGTGAGATTTCCGGCTGGAGCCAAAATTCAGCGAAGAGTTAATAATAATTTGTCTCTAAAAACAAAAAATTAAAAATAATTTTCAGCTCCGGACAAAAGACTTGCTTGGCCAAGATAAGGCTCACCAATTGTGAGATATTAACGTTCTAATTTATCATTTTTAGCACGTTACATTTATACATAATTGTACGATTGCATTTCTTTGGCGCCGAAAATTTGTTAACGATTTTACCATCCTTCCAAGTTGTTAGTGTTTTCTTAATTGGAGATAATTTTCACAAATGCATTTCAATAGTTCAGCAAATTTTTTCCTGAACTTTGATATTTTAAGATTTGATAAAAAATCGATTGCATTTTAATTGTGATGTCGTTGCTAAGTACTCGGAATCATTAGCACAACGCGCATTTGTGTGCCCAGCTACCATTGTTTAAACTTAACAGCGTCATGATTAACATTAAATCCTTCAACTCTCAAAAAGGCATGAAAACTTTACTTTCTTTGTCTCATTAATTTAAATGTCACTGTGCGCTTGGTGCATAAAAACAATTGTTTATTTATAGAGCGTTATCTTAGCCCGGCAATGGTCAAGCTTAAACAGAAGCACTCAAATAATTAAATATAGCACTGAAGCAAAATTGATATTATGCACCATGCAAATGCGCATAGATCTCAAGCTAGATATTCATCTCTTTGAACTTTAATTCCCCAGTCGATGTGTCGGACCAAGTTGATCCATTGCGCGATCCCATAGAGCAGTGGTTCCCAAACTTTTTTCAGGCTGGCGCCCCCTTTGGCTCCCTAGTGAATTTCTATCGCCCCCCACAGACACACATAAACACATACGCCTCTTTCTTGAAATTTAGTACGCTGCAATTTCCAAAGATAGAGGTTAAAAACAAATGTGTATTTCACAAATAGAACCCCATTTAGAGAACCAATATGTTTTTTATGCTGTTTTAACTGTTTCAGCACTAGAAACCTAGGACGTCTCGGGCAAATGTACGGCCGGACTCGTGGCCGGTCGCACGACCAATCTCCAAATTCAATTATCAAGTAATATATCCCAAACTAATGAACGCAGTTCAATGAAACTTGGAACATGTATTTATCAGAATCTAACGCGGATTATTAGCTCGTAAAAATGATTAAATTTTACCTTCATTCGTGAGTTATATCGCGATACAGGCCGAAATTCGCAGTGATCACAGAATTTCTTCCAAACTACTGAACAGATTTGAACGAAATTTTGAATATACATTCCTAACTACCAAACGGTGATTTTTAGCTGGTAAAATTTTTTTCGATTTTACCTTCGTTTGCGAGTTTTTTTATTTCACCGTCATTCTTGATTTCACACTTCCTTATATTCGGCCTGTATCGCCGGATAATTTGTCGCTTAAATTCGCGGCGATCAAGAAATTTATTCTAAACTACTGAACAGATTTGAACGAAACTTTGTATATACAGTGGGGGGAAATAAATATTCGTACACTTGAAAAATCGTATTTTAATGTATGTAAGTACACAAACTTAACAGGAAAAGTGATTTAAATTATGTATAGAGACGCATTGTATTCAAAAATACTATCAAAAGTTACATAATTTAAATCACTTTTCCTGTTAAGTTTGTGTACTTACATACATTAAAATACGATTTTTCAAGTGTACGAATATATATTTCCCCCCACTGTAAATACCTAACCTCCCAACGGTGATGTTTAGCTCGTGAAATTTTTTCTATTTTTCTTTCTTTCGCGAGGTATACAGATATAGGAGGAACGACCGGTTTTCTACCGGCTGGTTTAACCAGGCCGGTTAAAGTATATCCGTATACGTATAGCCGTATAACTCGCAAACGAAGGCAAAACGAAAAAGTTATAGCGAGCTAAACATCACCGTTGCTGAGGTTAGGTATTTAAATACTAAGTTTCGTTCAAATCTATTCAGTAGTTTGGAAGAAATTTCTTGATTGCTCGTATTTAAGCACGTACTGCTGTTTAAATTACGAATGAAGGTGAAATAAAAAAAACTCGCGAACAAAGGCGCAATTTAATAAATTTTCACGAGCTAAACATTACCGTTCGGTAGTTAGGACTGTAAATTTAAAGTTTCGTTCGAATCTGCTCAATAGTTTGGAAGAAATTCCTTGATCCCTGTGAATTTCGGCCCGTATTGCCATATAACTGTGACAAAAACAAATGAAGGCAAATTCAAAAAAATTTTCACGAGCTAAACATTACCGTTAGGTCCTAATGAATACGTGTACCAAGTTTAATCGAGTTAAGTTCAGTAGTTTCAGAGATATTCCTTGATCGTTGAATTTGGAAATTGGCCGCGAGTCCGGCCGTTAATTTGTCCGAGACGTAAACCCAGGAGAGGTTAAAAAACCAGATCTGGGTGAAAAAACCATCGCTGGGAGTCATAATGTGCTGCACGTATTGTGTATAAATCGTCAAACAAACTTTGGAACTTCTGACTTTGACTTCGGACTGCCGCCCCCCCACCTACCGCCCCCCAAACGCCCTCTTCTTCCTTACCGCCCCCCAAAATCGTTCCACCGCCCTTGGGGGGCGAGATCGCCCACTTTGGGAACCACTGCCATAGAGCGTTTCGATTGCCAAGCCACGCCGGGATCGATCACGAACAGTCGTTGCCGAAATGACGGTCGTGTTTTTCCAAGTAACCTTTTTGAGGCCATGGTTAAACTAATATTATTATTAGTATATATTAATATTGTATTAATTCAACCATGATCGAGGCAACATGCCTGGTCACGTCGACCGTGTCTCGAAGTCGATTGTCTTCATAGATACGTAATTTTTCTAGCCTCTTCATAGTTTATCTCATGAAAGGCATGATCGTCAAGCACTAGGTGGTTCTGAATGTTAGTGCCATGTCTCCACTTGCAATATGTTACTTGGGGGCCGTAACGATGCTGCTGTTACCGTACCTCACATTGACAATTATTGGCTTGGACCATGTTATTCATAATGTTATTTTTTGTTGAATCTTTCATTGTACCAACGCTGATTCACGACGCGTCACTTTCGCATCTTCTTTCCTATAAGATCATTTGTTACGTTCGACCCCTTAAGGGTTATAAATAATTTTTGATTTGAGTAATTTGCGATTTTCAAGGCCTCCCACCTCGATGATGATGTTCATACTTGACTTGCGTGGCGAGATGGTTGAAGAGCGGAAAGCTTGCTCACCATATGAACTACGGAAAAAACCGTGTAAAAATAGATCAGTACTCACTGCAGTGAGTGATCGTCCGTGAGCGCGTTTTCTCGTCCGTCCGTGACGTGAAGTCACGGACGGACGGACATGACAGCACAATAGCGCCTTTTTTCCATAAATGAGAAAATGCGCAAAAAACGGTATTACCAGCTCTCAAGCGACCGGCCGCCCCGTAAAAATAAACCGTTTTGATATTTTTTAAAGATGTTCTACAAGTTTATAACAATAAATTGGAATAAAAACGGTCACATGGTGTTTCTTTTCACGTGCCGGCCGGCTACTGAAACGCAGGCAATTCCGGTGATTTTTTAAACAGTATGGCTGTTAAATTATTTCAACTAACACCCTTTACAGCATGGCTATTTCCATGAATAAATTGACAACTCGGATAAACACACACAAGACAAAAATAACCAATTCAAGATGACATTTTTGAAAACGCTTCGGTGACAAACAAGAAAAATTATTTCAATTCGACCAAGGTGATGGATTGAACAACTTTGCTGCTTCTGACTCCGTTTATTTAGGGGATTGATTGACTCGATACACGGGTTATTTCCCATCGTTAAGTAACATTACGCTTTATTTCTACAATTAGTTCACATCAAAATAAGCAGTAAATAAATATTGAACGAAATAAAATGTCGCTTATCGACAATGCTTCAAGCAGGCTTCGTTTTGAAAGAAATTGCATCGACGGACAAAAGAAATACCAAGTTTCGACTAAATTACAGATTGATCTGGCAAATTAAGAAAAATATGACACAGGTACTGAATCAAGTTTCATTTCCTACTTAAAAATAAGTCATTAGAAGAACGTATTCCTTAGGAACACTTATTTAAATGAGCTGCGCCGGCATTCTTGGCAAACCAAAAGAATAGTCCTCCAAGAGAAGTACTACAACTTAAAACAAAATAAATTTTTACAGCTTTGAACATATATACACAAACTACTAATATTCGATATTTTAGCCTCGCATTTCAGCACTCAAGCGAGATCTGGTAGGAAGCATTATGCGCAGGGACCGCTCGTCCCAACCTAATACATAATATGTCAACCACACAATAAGCTGCCAGGGATACTCGATAAAAAAAGCGGCAGACGCAGTGCACATTAATTGCAACTTAGTTCAATTCTCAAGCCCATTCGAGAGGGTATACGCTCAGAAATAAAATGAAACATCGGGAACAGTTTGAAATATTTCGTTCGTATATAAATACCGATAAAATCAAGACTATGAAGCACTGAGCTATTTAGTTAAGTTTTACAAGGCGTTTTCATCTTGTTCATGACTTAGATACAGCTGTTGTCGAGGATTCATATTTACAAAACCACATTTGAAATCTAGAGACGTATATTTGCCTAAACTACCGTCTACCACTAATTATTCTACTAATCTATAGACGTAGATTTGTCTCAACTACCGTCTACCACTAGTTAATCTACTTACCTATAGACGTAGATTTGCCTCATCTACCATCTACAACTAATTATTTCACGGCAATTCCAGACCACATCCTAGACTTCAGAGGCGACAACACAACACTACGAGTGCCACAAAAACAATGGAATGTAGCGTGAGCTTAACAAGGTCACAAAAACTTGCATCGAATTTGCGCTCATGGTTCTAAAAAATACTAAAACACAGGTATGAAAAAATCTTTCCCGTACAATGGATTTGGCATGAAAATGAAAAAAAGGAAGACGATAGAAACATAGCAGTTTCGCGGACTGAAATAAACTGTTCACGATGGTTCAGAATAAAGTTAGGCGAGCATGAACAAATAAATCTAATTACTACTTCAAAATAACTACCATAATCGTCCATGTTTAACAATTAGCAACCACCAGGAACATCGTGTCTTTACGACGCAATTTTGGTAATCAAAGAGAAAAAGTTTTCAATAAATCATACCGATGAAATGTATCCATATTATAACTTTTTTCTAAGTTAACAAAACCGTTTACAAAACAAGCACTCTATTCATTATTACGACAAAAAGACAGAAATCCTTTTTTTTTTTGGTACATATTTCTACTTTAATGACGCCTAGAATCAACATTTTAACCATTACATCGACAACTCATTATTATACTCGCAATACACGCAAGAAGTTTGCATATAAAGTAATGATTCATTCAATGATTCAGAGTTGAGTTACTTGACCCTATAAACACATAATACTGCTACTTATGCTATCGTTTCCTCTATCCTATCCATCGGATTATTCAGGTGAAAAATGGTGACCAGAATATTACATTTCATTCAGATGAACACCTAATGACGCGTAGAAAATGATGGACCAGCCTGTTAGTTCCAATTTAGGAGAATAACATCTCTCCACGGTTTCAAAATAGATACAACTTGATAAACGAGATGAATTACATGGATATATTCCAAAACGGAGCCTTACTTTCTAGGATATAGAAATAGAGGTCAAGATCACAGCACTACGACAGCAGCATCATCATAAAACCAGAATCCTATTGTATCGTTCGGAAGATATCATTAAAAATCAGATAAAATAAAGAACCAATAACCTCGTTTTCTGGTTCTCTGTTTAAAATGAAACGGAGTTCACAGGAAATTACACAGGGCAATACAAACACCCGCTTTCCGCTCAACGAAAAAATGTCTTTCCCCTCTACTCTTTAGCTCTTAATTTTAACTTCCTAAAGCTTCATTTTACGAATGCATTACATTTAACCGTTTCAGGAACAGAATAACCTGAAATCCACCTTTTAACCACTACAAGGGGAAACGTTAGTAAATTTGTTCTGAACCACCAGGCAAGATCGTAAATTGCATGCAAAAAGCTATTAACTTTCATGTTTTTATTAACGGCAAACTCTGCTGAATCACATTCAAAGCGTCGCCACCTATCATGAACAAATATAATTACGTCGAATAACAACGTTATTTCAATTTCCTAAATGCTTACAAGTCTTCACGACCGCAACTTTAGTCGGTCAGCCAATACAATTCACATCACTTCATTCTCCTAAAAATGAGTAGCATAGTAATATAGCATCAATTGGAAGACCAATAGTAGTATTCGTATTTTAAAACATTATTGTGGATCACAAACAACACATGGCGATCAAGAATATCATTACGATGTAGTGGATGATTGACTCTTTACAAGGACACTTGACTTCTTCGTTCGGTAATACTTCTGAAAAGTTGCCATTTTTCTGTATTATCTTACTTTGTACCGTAGCGATGTCTTAAATTTATTTATTACAAAACATCACTCAGTTGATCGTTATTTAGATAACTGTAGTTATTCGAAACGTCTTTTTAGTTTCTTATAAGGAAGTTTTAAAAATTTGCGTATAATATTCCTACACGATGAGATACCCTGAGTTAAAAAGCGACGATTTTTAGATTTAAAATTCAGTGAACACTTGCACGTAACAACACATTTAAAAAGAGGTTTTCTCTAGAATTTTATTTAAGATTCTAACTTGTGAGTTAGTGGCGGTAACAGAGTTACACACCAACTGTTCTAGCGGTTATTACCATTTTGAGTTTGATATCAAGTGAGAATTCAAGTATCGTAGCCGATACGGTTATCAAATCACCTCTCCAAGTAAATGGTTTGAAACAGCTAATAAAGACAAGATGAAGCTTAGCAAAGCAGGTAAAAACCAATAATTAGAAACATTTTGTAACATTTCTTAGATGAAGCATACGCTTCAAAGTGACATTGCCTGCCTCGCTCAAACATTTACTCAGTTGTGAGCTCCTCAGTGTATCTACAATATGCATGAGGTAAATGTACAACATAAAGCTATTAAAATTATATAGCCTGACTTGTCGTGAGAAAAGCACAGAACAGAAACAATGAGTGTGGACTAGCACTGCTCGAGAAACAACGTCTTCTGCTGAACTTGAAGCCACTCCTGCTAACATTAACTTCGACTGCATGTGCAGAATTAGCACTTCTCAGCACTAATACCGTGTTCAGTGCACCTAATAGAGTGCAAATAATCGTAATGTTTAAGTCAACACTAACATTATGAATAGCGTAGCTAACCACAACTAGTGCATACTAGCCAAAAAAATTTGAGACTTGGGTGAGTGAGGCTAAAGATTCTTCTAGTAATTTAAACTAGGTTGAATACTAGTACTAGTGCCCAACGGTGCTGCTACAATACTACATGTTGTACTAGTGCCCGACTAGTACACTACAATGCTACATGTAGCCCAGACGGCACAGAAACAGAGAAGAATTGTCACGCATCGTAGCAAACCCAGCACACTGCACATGAGGGCACAACAGGCGATTTCTGCGACGCACAGCATGAGCGTGATGGAGCACAGCATGAGCGTGAAGCACCACAGCATGAGCAGGAACGTTAGCAGGAGCAGCAGAAGAATCATTGAGCTCGCGATGAGCAGAGAGATGGTAAGTCTAAGCAAGACCTCGTACTATGAGGCGTCTGAGAGGTCCGGAGACACATCGTAACTCGTGCGCACTCTCCACATGCCCACACTGCAGTCACTGCAAGAAGAATACTTTCATTAGTACATGTGTATCATTTGTATGTGTAAGACATAGTATGTGTATCATTAGTATGTGTATCCTTAGTATGTGTATCTTTAGTATGTGTATCTTTAGTATGTGTATCTTTAGTATGTGTATCATTAGTATGTGTATCCTTAGTATGTGTATCATTAGTATGTGTATCCTTAGTAATTTGTATGTGTATCATTAGTATGTGTATCCTTAGCATATGTATCCTTAGCATATGTATCCTTAGTATGTGTATCCTTAGCATATGTATTCATAGTATGTGTATCCTAAGTACCGTACATGTATCCTTTGTATGTGTTTTAACGTAGCACTCCCAAGCCACGAGTTAAAAATGTTATTATAACTTCGTTACTTAGGAGACTTTTAGGACAGCTACACCAGTAAATATGAGCATATTATTGAAACACTAGTTTTTCAACAGTCATGTTGATAAATCATCGCAGTTAATAATTTTTCCAAACTAATGAGAACACAATTATTAAATTACAAATTTGATAACGAGAAAATGATGAACCATGAAACCGGATCATCAAAATAGATTATGCAAAAATATCCAAAGTGAAAACATCGAGTTCCTATATGCTCTAACTTAAACAAAAATGTTATTTATATCACAAAAAAGGTTTACAGACTAAAGCAATTTTAGAAGGCATTTGATTTATAATTCATTGGTGAAAACCTATGATTTGAACAGAGTTAATAGGCGTAAGAAGTCAAAATAAAAACGGTATAAATAGCTATGAAATTATTTGTAAAAAACTCCTAAAATTTTCAATTGAAAAAATTAATATATACGATATTGTGGAGCAACTAATTAAACTACTTATCACAGGCTAATGTGTTCATACAAATGAGAAAATAAATTAGATATTAAATTAGCAGCTAATAAACACTTTTAGTAGGTGAGGGGAGCAATGCTTCTACTACCATCATCATAGAAAAAATTGCTAGAATAACACCTTATATACTTAATCCTGAAACCACAAAGTCGAGATTGAGTGAGAAAAAAATAGAACAAAAGAGACGTGATCGTTAAAAGATCATCTTCTTACGGCAAGGAGAAAGTAATATTTGAAGTATGACACAATCGAGGATCAGATTTGAGATAACAGAACAAACGGCATGTTCGAGATAACCGTCACAAAATTGCGCACGCATGAGGGCTATAAAATAGCTGTTAAAACGGTCAAACAGAAAAGAAATTGACCACACATAATTAGTTTCTGTTACACAAATCGAAAATTAAAACATTTTTGATTCTAACACGCAAACCATTCAACAAACTCCAAGCTTACGGTCTAAAGAAACAGTGGTAGAAGTGCTGAGAGCAGCCAGCGTATTTCAATTTAGATGCTAAATGCCAAACTTGCCATTGAAATTCCAAACTGTGCTCTTTCCAGACTTTTCATTGAATAATGAAAATTTTGCGTTAAAGTTAGAAATGATTATCAGTGAGTTCAACGCTGGAAGAATTAATTACATTCTGGAATAATAATAGTAATTCAAATTTAAAAGACATCGCCCCTGTAAACTTAGCCATGTTCTTCAGTTGTTGCTTGGCAAATAAAAATGAGTATTCTTCAATGGAGGAATTTAAAAGAAGATTAAAAAATATAACTCGGTACTCACTGCAGTGAGTGACAGAGAGCGCATTTTCTCGTCGACGAAAACGTGAAGTCACGGACAGACAGACAGACGGACAGACAGTCTGACAGACGGACATGACGAGCACAATAGCGCACTTTTTCCATAAATGAGAAAATGCGCTAAAAAGGAATTTTTTTCCAGACATTGAAAAGAAATGCGAATTGGAAATGATAAGGTGCAACAGAAAAAAGAATTTCAAGAGGCAAGTGAAGCAGGTTTAGTTTTCGAAGACCAAGTCGTCGTACGCGCCTCCCCCCACTACTGGCCGCCACATCCACACGTGTTCCTCGCTACGGTGAACATCAGAGAATAAAACTATAAATATTCTCTATATTCGCTTTCACTCCATACAAATACTTTTCATATACTATATTCGTTTGTGTGATGGGAGAGTTTAACATCGACTAACAAACTGATCATTGCATTATTTGTTTCACTTCATTACATTATTTGTTTTATTTCTCTTGGCTATTGCATCATTTCTGTTGGGAAAAAAATTGCATGCAAGATTCCGTCACTTGTAAACCATGAAGAATTAGAAGAAACCAAGATATTTTGAGCAGTACATATCAGGCGCGTTTATGAACGGCCTTGCACCCAAAACGTGCACCATAACTGGCTAGGAGCAGGAATTCATAGAGAAAATTATTAAACGTATTCGATCTATTTGCTTAATTAGAGACACAAGTATGAAATGTGTCACAAGAGACATAACTAAGAGACGGGTAAAGGAAAATTGAAGGCTCAATAATAAAAGTCACCTCGTATCGTCGAATTTACAAGAATAAAGTAAGAAACAGGAGAACAGAAAGAGAAAATGAGAAAATTTTGTATAGATAATGCGTAGGCCCTCATACGCAATAAATATTTTATTTATGCACATATCCAATAACTGTTAAACCGTAGAAAAAACGAATTATTCGAAAATCTGAAAGCCATTGAAGAATTATGACAAAATTCAGTCTTAGACTTTGGAAGACGACGAGCAATAAGAAGAACAATCCCTTATAAATCGCTTAACCCATACAATATACAAATAAGTAATGCACTTAATATACAATTACCTAATACAAAGAATTAATGAATGCACTGACTTGGATGCAGTGAAGATGCAGGTGCTGTTGGTGGTGATGGCGTTGATGGTGGACGCGTGGGCCCGCAGTTCACCAACGACCTGACAGCTCTCAGTGGACCACATCTTGACCACACCACCACGGCAACCTGCACACGAGGGGCATGTGGTCCGGGGCATGTGGTCACCCTACATAACAGTGGCATGAGGTCAACTTATATTTGCGTGGTGCAATCATGTGTCCAAAAAAACGCGAGCGGCATTAATGCTGCGTAGTTAAAAATTAAGCATCAAATTAACTATCAGTTCTACGAACTCACTAGTAAAAATTTAATCAGGAATAGACAGGATGCAACAAAAACTTTTCAGAAATTCTATTGGTTAGTTAGTTAGCTTAGTTGATTTCATTAGTTCCAGAAATATGATTCCTGGGAATATCCACACAAATATTCTGCTTGAATTATATTTATTTATTTTTTTTTCAGAAAGCATCATCTCCATGGCTCCTTATACCAGAATATTGTTATATCATATCTTACATATTATATCTTATAATCATATCTTATCATCTACCAGAATATTCTAAAATCACATATCATACGCGTCAAATCCTATCTTATACGCATATTATATCTCATAAAAATCATATCTTATACGTGTTAAATCATATATTATATATTACATCTTAGACTCATATCTTATCATCTACCAGAATATTGTTAAATCATATCATATATTATATCTTATATTCTATAATCATATCTTATATAGTATATCTCATAACCACATTCTGCATGGTAAAATAAGCTACCTGAGAGCAGGATCTGTCCCCCAGGATTGAAGCACAGCGCGCAGACCCAGTCCCTGTGCGCAGCATTAAGGTTCATAAGCAGCTCTCCTTTCCGTATGTCCCACTTCTTGATGCACATGTCCCGGGACCCTGAGAAGAGCGTGTCCCCGAACATGGCTAGGGACTGTATGCCGTCGTAGTGAGGAGGGTCTAGGTTAAGACGGGAGCTGATCAGACCAGACTTGTTGCTCTCCACCACGTCAAACACCTGCACAATGTTCCATTATTGAGGCAAGCCATGCGTCAAACTGGCAATATTAGGCAAAGGCAAATTAGATAAGGCAAATTTTTAATGACGAACATGATTCAAAATTGAAATCTTACAGCAACTCTAGGTAAAAAAAGAAAAAATAACTGCGAATTAAATAAAATTTTCCTCAGTGTCACCTTTTTGAACATAAAAATTTTTTACAGCAACCACCCAAAATCTGCGATAAGCGGGGCAAAATCTGCATATTTTAACAGGGCATTGTGATGCATCATCTACACGCCCTTATGACACGCTGGGTGTTTAGCCAATTTAAATTTTTCTTACTCGTATAATTTATCTAGAGTCCTCATAACTGGCACACATCGCTTTGCCCGCGGCCAACATCATACATCAGTCACATGTTTTTGGGAAGAAACTTAGCTATTTTTGCCAGCGTCTTATCCGATTGGACACTCTAAACTAATTTTACTAACTAACTAAATAACTAACTAATTTTACTAACTAACTAAATAACTTACTAAATTCTACTAACTAAACTAAATTGGACACTCTCAAGAGAAGTTCTTAATAAAACCGGCATCATTTTCAACCAAACATGACTAAATTTAGTGTAAATAACTAGTGTATTTCAAACTATTGTATAACTAGTGTATTTCAAACTAATGTATAACTAGTGTATTTCAAGCTAGTGTAAAACTAGTGTATTTCAAGATGTAGCGTCTCCACATACAGTGGCGAAGATGGTCCCATACATCAGTAAACTGGCCCGCGTTCGATTGCGTCCACTCCATCAACCACCTTGATGGAGTGGTCCTTGGAGCACACTACCCACCTTGATGGAGTGGTCCTTGGAGCACACTACCCACCTTGATGGAGTGNACCCTGAGGTCCCAGACCCTGACACTCACATCCTGAGGTCCCAGACCCTGACACTCACATCCTGAGGTCCCAGACCCTGACGATGTTGGATGCAGCGGAGTAGAGGATGTTGGATGTGTTGGAGAGCGCGATGTCGTTGACCTGCGTCTCGCCGGGGGGCATGAGGGAGCGCGAGGTCGCCGACACCGCCACCGCCCCGTTGGTGGTCAGGCCTGACGAGCTCAGCGTGCGGGTACATCTGCTGGGGTCCTCACGCAGGTCCCACACCTGCGGGTGATCATAATTAATAATTATTAATAAATAAGAATGAAGAATATATAATCCTCACGCAAGTCCCAGACCTGCAAGTAATGATAATTAATAATGAATAATAATAAATAATTAATAATGGTTAATAATGAATAATATTCCTCATGCTGGTCCCAAAACTGCAAGTAATAATAATTGATACTAATGAATAATAATCCTCATGCAAGTTCAAAACCTGCAAGACAGCGCAGAAAAATAAGCAAAATAATTAATTTTAGTACAAACGCAATAATAAATTTTAGTACAAGCATCATAATGATGAATTAAAGACTCGTAGGGAAACTTTCGACACGGGCATCATGAATTCGAAAAAGATTGGTTCTTCCTTGATAAAATATATGCTGATCACATTGACACGATATTGTTCTTGAAAATTGCGTACACGGTTTTTGAAAATAATTGTAATGGATCACTATCCTCGATTATTAATATCAGACATATCACAAATAGATAAAAAATTACCATGGAATTCTTTCAATTTGAGGTTAAAAAATATATTAGTACAACATGAAGAACGGTACAAAATAATCGTGGGAGTAACCTTAATATATGACGAGGAAACGTTATAACAGGCGCGGGAGTTCCACGCCTGTCTCTTGTCCTTTTTTTGTGTCTCTTCTTCTGTTTTGTATTTGTCTTTCAATTTAATGGTTAAAAATTATATTAGTACAACATAAAGAAAGGTACAAAAAAAACCTGGTAGTAACCTTGATATATGAAGAGGAGACGGTGTAACAGGCGCGTGAGTTTTCGCAGTACTTGACGCAGTTGACGTTGTTGGGGTGACCGGTGAGCGTCTCGATCTCCTGACCACGTACCAAGTCCCACACCTTCACCGTGCGATCTGTGGTGAGAGTTCGTACACATGTACTAAAACTGAACGCCTTGACCGTGCGATCTGTGGTGAGAGTTCGTACACATGTACTAAAACTGAACGCCTTGACCGTGCGATCTGTGGTGAGAGTTCGTCACATGTATTAAAACTGAACGCCTTGACCGTGCGATCTGTCGTGAGAGTTCCAATACATGAGAGCTGCAAGCCGATGGAGTAAAAGCTCCAATTCAACTTTGAAACTGAACGTTGAGGTACGATTCTATTTTTTTCAATAAAATTTATATTGCAATGATATTTATACTAGTTCTATTTCATTGAGCTTTCAAAGTTTATGTGAATAACCCTGCATATTACAAGCTGGAACAAATGACACTATGCCAAAAAATTAAATTTTGATCTTAAGATCAGATACAGCAAAGTATAACGAGCAGAAGAGGAGAAGGTTGCAGGTAAAATATTTACCTTTACATAGATCACCCTGTATATTACATACTGGGACAAGCGAAGGTATGTCAAACATTTAAATAATTGATCTTAGGATCAGATAGTGCAAAATATACCAGGAATAAAAGAAGAGAAGAAGGTTACCGGCAAAATATTAACCTTTACTAGCGGAGAAGAGCCTGTCTTCGGTGGCAAAGACGGAGAGCACCGCCTTGGTGTGGCCCTGAGCGACGTGTGTACAGGCCAGCACAGACCGTTGGCTGATCTGCTCGTGTAATATAGTTAAACGAGGTCAATAATACGGCTAAACGCGGTCAAAAACACGGATAAAACGCGGCTACAACTCAGTCAATAACACGGGTAAGCGCAGTTAAAAACACGGCTAAAAAGCAGTCAATAACACGGCTATACGCGATCCAGAACACGGCTAAAATTCAGTCAATAACACGGCTATATGTGAAGGCGATCAAGAACACGGCTAAAAAGCAGTCAAAAACACGGCTAAACGCAATCAATAACACGGCTAAAATGCAGTAAATAACATGGCAAAAACATGGTCAAAAACACAGCTAAAACGCGGTATAAAATACTGCAGAACGCAGCAAAAATACGTCAAAAACTATATACCGAAGAATCAACGGTGCAAAGCTGTAGCGGATTGTAATTGTGAATCTAACAAGTATGAGAATGAGGGTTCCTGCTAATATAGGACTGAGAATTAAGATTCAAATGAGATCCTCGATATGCCAGGCTTAAACTGTGTGCGTTTGGGGAATACAATGGCGTTGCACACAAGGATCATGAAATCTCGAGACTATTAATACACGAATTAAAATATGATACATAAAATAAAGATATACGTAGCTATAATAGACACAGCACGACAGTGGGTGAAGAAAGTTCAACACTAATACATGAATCGATAATTATTTTATGCACTAACGTGAATTCTAAGAAATCACAATATTAGTTGGAAGTCAAGCTCAAAATTGAAAATATCGGATGTTGAATCAAGCATTTTGAATATAATATAAATGTTATAATCAACCTAAGGCTGAAAATGTTAAGGTTCCATACCCTGCCTTGGTAGGGGTTAATAACGCCGGTATGGTGGCGGTTGTGTCGGGTTGACGTTCCGGTTGAGGTAAGTCGGTTGAAAACGTCGCCTTCTCTCGACGCCTGACGACGATACGAACCTGGCGAGGCGGGAGGTGTCGCTTCTGTCGCGCTCTCCCTGTAGGCCACCACACATAGGAGTGAGTGAGTTTGTCTTGAAAAGTTACTTATCATCACTTATTGACTAGAATAGTGACTTATTGACTTGAAAAGGGACTTAAGTGACTTATTGACTTGAAAAGTGATTTTTGACTTCAGGAAGATATTTTAGAATTAATTAAGTAATTTCTGACAGAAAAGTGATTTCTGACTCAAAACCACATCATGACTTGACTACCGGCCATACTTTGTAGCTTCTGTTTCGTTGCAATGAGCTAACATAACAATGATGCAGTATATTCTACATCATTCTTGTTTATATTTCGAAAGTATATATTATTTTAAAAAAGTATTTTTCGACTAGAAACTCAACACAGCAACTCGTAAAACAAGAGTTATTGATGCACTATAACTAGGGCCTATGAAATAACATTATTAATACATAACAAGATGGTAATTAATTATATGACATACGTGACACGGTGACTCTCTATAACTCCAGTAGCAACTAATAAAATTAATATAAACAGGCGACAAAAAAACTTGCTAATATTTCTAGTAATGAGAAAATTTTGAAGAAAGAGTTTTTGATTGACTTGCCAGAGAAAAAAAATTGTTCAAGTCGAGGGTGATGTACCTAATAATATACGTTTAAAAATTACTTTCTAAAGACAACACTTCCAAAGAATCCAGTATCTCCAATCTTAGAGATGTACAATGAATTTCTCATCTAATTTTCAAAAATTAAAAAAATTAACTTTTTAATTATTTTAATAAGACAACACTTCCAAAGAATCCAGTATCTCCAATTTTTAATATATATAAAATTTTTTTAATATATAATTTTTTTTCAAAATTATTTATTCTGTTGATTAATTCATGCATTGCCTCTGACTTCACACAAGTGTGCAAAATTTCAGATCAATTAGACAGGTAAATGTGTGTCAAATATCAGTTATAAGATTTGTAGCTGACAAAATTATTTTTTTTAATTTTTTTAATTTTGAAAAAAAAATCTTTAATTTTTAAATAATTTATTTAGATATTTAATTCGTGCATTGTCTCCATCTTTACGCAAGTGTGCAAAATTTCAGATCGATAGGATAAGTAGAAATGTATTAAATTTTGATTACAAGATTTGTAGCAGACATTCAGACAGACAAACAGACAAGAAGTGAAGTTAAAGAGAAGTGTTGTAAAAAGAGGGTTTAAAATCATGGAAGAAGGTATAGGAACCATTGCTGAATTGCGAACCTATAATGATTACGATTCATAACAATCTGATACGAAAACATTTTGTACCTCATGGAGGAAAACGATTGGACAATGGTAGCTCATGGAGGTCAATGATAACTAAACTAAAAACATTACCGAACCTTGAATGAACCACTCAAATTTCGTTATCTACAGAAAGGTAGAGAATAAAATACATCAAACAGTCAGATTTTTTTTCCGATTTGTTCGAGGTTTCCTGAGTGATTGAGTGGCAACAATATTCCATTTGCTTAGAAAACGTAATAAATTTTGGAGATTAGACGCAAAACTAAACACAATGTTATATGAAACCTTACCGTGATAAGTCTGGCAAACATATGTTAGATTAGTACTATGATGTAGCATCAAAGGCCTTCATTGTGTAATGGTTAAGTACCTACGTAATTATATTTACTTAACTCAAAGTAATGCTTAAAACCAATAATGCAAACAGAGCGAAGTACAGGGTGTTTCAGAATTAAGTAACCCTTTTAATTTGTTAATAAATAAAAAACTAAGAACGTTATGAAGTTGAAACTTGTTTTATTTAAAAGAAGAACATTTTCATGGTAATATTGTATCATAGTTACGTCATTATCCTGTATAGCTTGCTAAATTCGTGTTTAATTATCAAGCCTTAAATTTTCATCATGATTCGCTACAGCAAAGAAGAAAGAACAAAAATTATCGCTACAGTCAATAACGATGTCAATAACAGAAGTTCAACGTGATTACAGGATCCATTTCAAAAAACACATTTAAATATCTTTATCGAAAATTTGCGGATATCAAAAATTTGCACTCTCGTCAGAAACACTAATGAAGGTTATGAAAGCAATGACGAGAAGAGCCCTATTTTGTCAAAACAATTGTGGTGGGCATTTAAAAGATATTATATTTAAAAACTAGGATACAATATTACCATAAAAATGTTCTTTTTTTAAATAAAACAAGTTTCAACTTCATAACGTTCTTAGTTTTTTATTTATTAACAAATTAAAAGGATTACTTAATTCTGAAACACCCTGTATAATTGGAGTGCATGCGTTTATAGAAGCGGTAAAGGCAAACATTATAGCAGCAGTTACTTGCTATATAAATACTATTAAAAAGGGGAATTTTAATGTTACTTCAATATTGCAATCAGTAGTTGTTGTTAATGCAAATGGCGATGTAGCAACAGTTGCTACATACCAGACAAATTATTCGTGTTCTTCCTAACGTGAATACCAGACAAACATGCATGGATATGACAGGCACATTTTAATTCAGCCTCTAAATGCATTTAAAACATTATGATCCCCGAGTAACACTGACCTTACCATTAAAAACCAAACAACTTAAATAGTTTCACAAGCCATGCGATCAAAGCATATATCGTGCAGGATGCATATCTCTGATATTGATAAATAAATTAAGTTAATATAAATAAATAAATAAATATAAGTGATAAATTAATCTTATGCGTGACGTGCCCTCGAAGTTCGTTTGAAACAGACGCCAAGATAAATGCTTCGTACAGAATAATAATAAATAAGGTTATGTACTTACGCCGAGTTCTGTCTGGAATAACTGATAACGGGCGTTAAAACTATCCCAGCGCCGTTTATTGTCCCGTTATTGAGGGGCAAGTTTTTGCGATGTAGGCGTGGGGAAGGAAGCAAAGCGGGAAACAAGGCCCCAGACACTGGGGAAGGATCTGACTTGCGCGAGAGTTTCGGAGAAACTCTACGGACGCCCCCGCCACCTCTGAGCATTTGCCACCAAGTGTTAGCATTAGTAACGTAAGCGTAAGCCTTAGCATTCAAACAAGCAGTAATGAGATAAATAACCCAAACATTTTGAATTAAATTCGAATAAATTAGATCAAAACCAGAGGTAAATGGTGTCAAATTCTCGAAAATAATCTGATGCAAAAGTAGAAATCTTTTATGTATTGAATAGGGTTCGACAGTATATCCTCATGAAACTTGAGCATATATGTCTCGAAATAAAAGCAAGACATCGTTATGCTTTCTGACTGAAATCACTGACCACATCTACCTCTGTTTTGCAACCATACAAAGAAACTTCATCACCAAATTGGCTTAAATAGTGACGCTCAAATGAACGTAAATAATAATAAATGTTAATAATATAACAAAAAATCATTAAAAAATATTAATGCCACCAACAAGCAGAACGTAAGCCACCTTTGGTAACCACCCATAATAATAGCTGGTGCATTCACATCTACGCAACGGGCATCGATCAAAATTAACCTCGAATAAATATACTTAAAATGTCCAGTATGCTTGTAGACAAACAGAAATTGAGGAGAAAGTCAAGATAATGCTCATTGGAATTACTAATGTTAAAAACGTCGTAATGGTGAACTGTTAACTTTTCAAATTTATTGGGTTTCGCCAGGGGTTAATAAGCATGGGAGTATATTATTTTTTTTAGTGAGAACTCGACAATACAGACCAGTAACGGAGGAACAAAATTATATGACACGAGCATAAATGCAAGAATGCGAACATAACTTATAAATTCAGGTCTAAAACAGTGCACTGAAGATCTGAAGGGTTAATCCACATATAGGCCTATACGGCAACCGCAGTAGCATCAACAAAAAATGCAAACTTTTTCAGTTGTTAAACTTTTTTGAGTTTTATTGCCAATTATTATGTATGATGGAATATTGTAACGAAACGAAATCAGTCAATTGGTGAAAACAGCATTAGTGCTGATTTCAAGTGTATGCATATCCGCGGACGATACCTAATGTTTATTATCTCTGTAATCATTTATAATAATATTATAAATAATTACATTATATTATATTATTATAAGGTAACACTATTAGCTTAAAGTTATAGACACTCCAATAGACGAGCAGCTCGAGCCATTTTACTAAATAAAACTTCTACTTCTCTCTACCAATGGCAAGAGGATTGCGTTCCTTGTTCTTGAGTTGAATAAAGTGCTTCGACTCAATTAAAAAGTGCATTCTCATTCTCAGGTATGATGGATACGAACATACAAGGAAAATCATTTGTCCAATCAATGGATAATCTCTAATGTTACCGCTTGTTAACGAAAACAATTATCGATCTTTACTTTGTAATAAGAACGTGTGCAAAACTTAATGAATTTTGCGAAGCTTAACTCACTCATCTTCTTCCACTAGACTCAGTTCGCTTGCAAGGGAGCAATTAATTGATTAAAAACAATAGAGAATAATTCTACGAATAGCCGAAACGCAACGATTATGACACACCCAACACACGCTATCAGGATTAGAGCATCTGTGGCTGCACAAGATAATTACTGAGGGACATTACGCTTTTTGAATATCTCTTTTCAGAAAGCATTCCCAAAGGCTAAGATCAAGCAAAAACTGGCCAGATTGGTCTCCTTTTCGGTCGGTTCGGTTATACGGTCGATTATCGTAGAAATGGATTACAAATGCAATCCACCACTGTATAGGGCTAAGGAACTCGGTCAAGTTCAAACAGGAGTAAAACTTTATAGAACTCACTTGTTAACCAAGTTAGAGCAGGAGTAAAACTTTAAAGAACTCACTTGTTAACTAGGTTAGAGCAGGAGTAAAACTTTAAAGAACTCACTTGTTAACTAAGTTAGATCACGAAAAAAAAATTTAAAATACTTACTTGTTAACTAAGTTAGATAATGAAAACAATTTTAAAGAACTGACTTGTTGAGCACGGCGCCCCTGGGTGCCCTCATAGCCCACTGTTCGCTGTCACTGCGACCCAGCGCTCCGTCCAAGCTGGTCGTCATGCGCGGGTCTATCGTGGACGCCGCTGAGGGGTTACAGCTGCTCGCTGCCGAGGACGCCGCGGCGTTCAGGGATGGCAAAGTCGATGGCAAGTTCGAGGTGGAAGAATACATGTGGAAAGCCGATGGAATGACCGCTGGAGGCACTATTGTGCTACTGATGGTATTGTTGGCAGATGTGGGGTGTGATGAGGGTCTGGAGGCAGCGTCATCGCTCGTAGCTCCGGACCTGTCACTGCCGTTAGAAAAAAGCATGTCTTGTGGCGTGGCTTGACGACATCGCGCCTTGTCGCGTCGCAGCAGCGAGTCGCTCGAGTACACGGGACTGGCAGGCGGCTCGAGGGGCCTGGCGGAGTGAAGTGTCCGCACACGGGGGAAGAGCAGGGGAGGAGAGGAGAAGAGCAGGGGAGGAGAGGAGGGAGAAGAGTGAAGAGGAGGGAGAGGAGGAGGGAGCAAGGAGAAAAGAACAGGAAATGAAGATGAGTAAGGAAGATAAAGACGAAGAAGAGAAGCACAAAGCATAAAATTGTGAGTGGAGAAAGAAAAGTTGATAAAATATTGAGAATTTTGTGCGGACCAACAGTTAAGAATGGGAGAAAGTGTGTAGTAAATAGACGTGAAGATATAGCCAAGAGTGAACCAGAAAACAAGTAAACAGGAAATGAAAGGAATTTGTATAAATCGTGAGTACGAATCATCAAAAGGAAAACGGTCAGAATCACCAAAAGGAAAGGACGTTGAAAGCGGTCAGCAAGAATCAGCATTAACGTGGCAATTGGTAGGCACAGAGATAAGTTATTGAGTAAATGGGGAAATCCAGAACAACAGATAAAAATACAGTCGAGGAATGGAGGCATTAAAAGGGTAAAGAAATGACACACGTCAACATCATGGGCCAAGATGTGACACAAGTAGAGTATGTGGAGTGGGAAATAAAATTGGCAAGAGTGATCAAAATGTGTGAGCCATCAGAGAGGGTGGGAAGCGCGAAGACATCAAAAAAGATGAAACGACCAGCGGGAGCGAAACTCATGAATAAGGTGAGATGTTTTTATATAAAATACAGCGAAATAAAGATTAGTGACACGTATATATGTGGCACGCATATCAGTGACACGCATATCAGTGACACGTATATCAGTGACACGTATATCAGTGACACGCATATCAGTGACACGCATATCAGTGACATGTAAAATGTAGTTCAGTATTAAGGGTTTGAATTACACGTGTATGATTAACCACGTACGACAAGTTTTTAACAGCGAAGAGTGGCGTTTATGTGATGAACGAAAATGGATGGGAAAGAGATACGAAAATTCAAGGTTTAAGTTTGATCGTTCATCACATCGACATGATTTCCAAAATAAATGTGGGACGATCATATATGAGATTTGTAGCCCGGGTATTATAAATAATATTTAATTGGAATTTTTAATGTACCTTGAAACAATCAGGCAAGAAATTCATATATAACCTCTCTCAAAAAAATTCCGACAAATGATAATACGAAAATTTTTGATTTGAAAATATTTCACCGGAATTTTGTCATATTGTAGGGCAGATGAATGAAATTCATTCTCTTAATGAAAATTCACAACAATTCAACGGTGAGTACTTGGATCATTGGGCAAGATGCGAATTGTACGATAATAAGAAGAAATGATGCTAATAATCATGCAGACATACAATGTGTAGTTGAAGTAAAGGATGAATGCTTGTTGAAATGAATTAATAAACTTACAAAAATCATAACACAATATCAAGCAGGAAAGAACACGAACAAACGATGAATTAATACGGAAAAATTAGTCGAATTTTTGGGTTACAATACAAGCGAATGCATTAGAGACCAACGAGAGAGAAGATAGAAGAAAATGGTTGATGTAGGAAGAAATTGATTATGTAGAGAAAGCTCCGTGTAGTGGATGTCGGCACGGGTGAAAGTGGACGAAGAGGGAAGAGGAGAGGAGAGGGGAAGGAAAGGGAGAGCATGATAAAAGGAGAGGGAGAGCATGATAAAAGGAAAAGGATAGCATGATAAAAGGAGAGGGAGAGCAGAATAAAAGGAGAGGGAGAGCAGAATGAGAAAGGAGAGGGAGAGCAAAATGAGAAAGGAGAGAGTAGAATGAGAGGAAAGGGGAGCGGAATGAGAAAGGAAAGGGAGAGAAGAATGAGAAAGGAAAGGGAGAGCAGAATGAGAAAGGAAAGGGAGAGCAGAATGAGAAGAGAGAGGGAGAGCAGAATGAGAAGGGAGAGGAGAGCAGAATGAGAAAGGAGAGGGGAGGAGAGAGAGAGAGAGGGAGGTAGAGAGGGGAGGAGAGATATACAATTAGATAATTCGTCAACAAACTAACTGTCTCACTAAAGGCATGCACAGAAACTATGCTTTATAGACACCAACGGCAGATGCCATTGTACACTTAATTCTAAATATAAAGTAGGTATGCACTTAAGAACGAGCAACCGTGCGAAAACCTCGTGAAAATATGACATTATCTCAGTTTGTACACGAAGAAATAATCTACAGGCGTATGATAATTTACTAGGAAAAACTATAATAAACAATGCAGAAGGGAGATCTAAAGAACCAACGGTAGTTATAAGGGTAAGTTTTGTGTTGTTTAGGGTGTTCATCTAAGAATAACGACTGGACTCTAGAATACCTGAAGTAATTGATGTTGAATGACAGGCTATAACTTGGCCGACTTAATGATAAAAATTATAAAAAAATAAATAATAAATGAATATAAGAATGCCGTTTCTTTAATTTCAAGTCAAAGTCGCTTCAGTTCAGTCATTCTCGGTTGTATGTGATAACGAATTTTCTTCCATAATTTAAACAGCAAAATATTGTCCATTAAGATACAGATAAAGAACTTCTGCACGTTTAAATAAACGGCAATGATTAACTGTTTTTTAATGATTAGTTATTTGTCAACGTTTCACAGTCGATTGAGCGACAACTAGCAGACAGATGTCGTTAGAATTTAGGATAATTTTAAATACTAACATCATTGTTCAAAAAGTTTTGTGAAAATAATGTAATAATAGATACCAAGCCAGCCAAATCTCTAAGACTTGGTCAAAAAACGTACCGTACGAGTCAAAAATTTGTATACACATTTGGACTAAACTGCGTCCGAAATTCAAAGCAAGTTCACGAATGAGTAACAAAACATTCAAGATAAGTCAAGCAATACGAGAAGTTTTTGGGAGGAGGCAAGTAATTTTTTAAAGTACTACGATGAAACGGACAGATTGTTGCTCAAGAATAGTATGGAAATAGAACAAAAACGATACTGAGAGAAATGTAAAGCTCATAAAGTCAGTAATTATATGGAAATAAAAATAAACCGTCTGTTATAAACGTGAATATCAAGCAGTCAGATTAGATTCAAAAAAACGTTTCCAGATCTTTAAATCGATTTCATTCATGTACAAAGAACTTTCTTGTAAGTTTATTAACATATCAACATGTACAAAATTTTATCTATTTCCATCGCCCCCTGAAATAATGTACTTTGAAATTTTATGGTAGAAATCAACTGTCCATCAAGAAAGGAGCACAACTCAACGATACACGAAGCTTTTAGGGATAACTATCTTCTTTAGCTGACTGTACAAACAAATAATACAGACTGGCAAGAAAAGATATGCATGTAATAAATAAGTTAAGACGCTGGCGTCACATCTTACATTCTTACCGCTGAACATTAATATTAATACTAATAATAATAATATAATAAGTTACGACGCTGGCTGTCGTGACATCTTACCGCTGTTCGGACGGTGAAGGCGAGCGAGAAGAGTCCGTGGAGTTGGAGGCGTCGCCGGCGAGCAGGGAGCTCATGAGGCTGAACACTTCATGGTTGGGGTTACCCAGTACATGGGCCAGTAGCTGCTCCTGGACTGTCGTGTTCTGCTCCATCTGGGCATATATCGTGAAAATAAACGTGTCATATAGTGAAAAAACGTGATATATGACGAAAATACAGCGAAAAAACTGCTATAGCTCGAAAAAAACTCATATATAGAAAAAAACGTAATAGAGAGAAAATAAACCAGTTACAGAGCGAAAAAAAATATAGAGCGAAAAAATGTAATATAGAACGGAAAAAACGTATCCATGATGAAAAACGTAATATAGAGTGATATATGCCTGCCAATGAGGATAGATTTTTGCCCCATCGATGGCATCATAAGTAGCCTATAAATTTGAAAGAACATTACTTAGCACGCTGCATGTTTGTCAACGAGGTGAACGTCTTCAAATGATTTAGTATTCATAAATTTCCATCGGAAATTCAAGCCTGAATGAGCCAACGATTAAAACATTTGGCTTCAAAATCAAAATTATTCGCAAGCCCGATACATCCAAATACTATTAATATTTATACTAAAAAAAAGTTAGCAGTAACGGCTAAAGTCTCGCCCAAACTCGCAAATATGATGGAATTTTAAAGAGAATGGTATGAATTTTGAGTGTGAATATGATTGATTTTTTTGAGTGTGAATATTATTGAATGATTTTTTACAAAGAATTGGAACGATTTTACACACGAACATGATTGAACTCTATATTTAACTAAATAAATTTTAAGCGCGAATAGATACAATTTGGATAAATTTTACGCGCGAGTAGATTCAGAAAATTTGATCAATTTTACGCGCGAATAAATACAGGGAATTTGCTTAATTTTACGAGCGTATATAAAAATATTAATGCTGTACCTGCTTCATCCTGTTCTCGAGCTCGGCGATGGCTGCCTGCTTCTGCGCGGCGAGAGTTGCCTGGCTGACAGTCATGGTGATCAGCTTGCTGATGATGTATTCACTCTCTGCTGCTGACATGCACGCGCCTGACACTGCTGTTGTCAGGCTCTCAGGGTCACCATCCTGCACAATACCGTATACATCACCATACTGCCACACACTGTCAAAAATATTCTGCTGGAGTGCCCGGAGTTGTCGGCGCCAAGGCATATTCATGAATGGTTGAATTATCTTGAAATTTGTAAGAAACTTGATAAGGTATCTTTAATGTGAACCCTCTTCGAAAAATATGTTTTTTAGCCGTCGCACAACTTTGGCCCGAGTCCGAGCTCGGCTTACAACATTAATTAATTATTATTAATTAATATTAATTTGAAGTTTTGTGATCGATAAGCTATTAAATGGTTTGAATTATTCGATTTAAGTATGTTTAAAATCAGGAGTATAGTTCTAATTTTCTCGTGGCTACAGGAAACTTTCAAAAATACAAAATAAAACACATCAACATTTTAATATAGAACTAAAATAATTGGAACATATGATAATATGAACAAAATGCAAACCTTGTTCTCCTCCATGGCCACGATGTTCTCTTGACATTCAGCGATGTTCTCCTGAATGTAGTTGATATTCGCACGCAGACCGTCCACCTGACAACACAAAGAAACATTTCATATTTTCCAACTTTTCATCAATTTTTTTAAATTAATTTTTATTCGCTTAGAACGGACACGTTGTTTCGGTGCCGAGATTTCGTTACAAATAACTATTCGAGATGATTGAGATTATTTTTATGATTGAAAATCCCACATTATGACATATTTTTCATAATTTGAAAATACATTATTTCTTAGTTAAGAGACAGAAAAGATGCAGTAACAAAAATTAACTACAATAAAATTTCTTTCGTACAGCAAAATTCACAACTAAAGAGCGGAACTGCTTCTCCGACAACCTATTTACGCAGACTGATAAAAGACAAGTGCGATCTAATACATAATTCAACTATAATCTCGGACCGGGCTTATGAAGTTTAATATTTGTAATTAAAGTAATATTATTAAAGTTATTTAAAACGATTGGATTGAGTAACACTGCCTGACAAAAGACAAGTGCGATCTAATACATAATTTAACTTTAAACTTTAATCGTGGACCAGGCTTACGAAGTTAAATATTTGTAATTAAAGTAATATTCTGAAGGTTATCAAGTTATGTAAGTAGTTAAGGCACCGGATCGTTAGACAAGTGCGATCTAATACACAATTTAACTTTAAACTTTAATCGTGGACCAGGCTTATGAGGTTAAGAATAGAATAGAAGGGTCGGCACTGAAGAAATAGGCCCAAGGCCAGTAATTAAAGTAATATTATGAGAGTTATTTAGTTATGTAAATAGTTAAGGCACCTGGTCGTTGAGGTCACTGAGTTGTGTAGCGTTGGTTGGGTCAAGTCGCTCGCGTCGTCTGAGCGCCTTGTCCAGCTGCCTGCTCAGCGTCTCGCGCTCCTTCAGCCATCTGTAGTCATATTTTATGGATAAATTACGCATATTTAAAATAAGAGAATTAATAAATTACGCAGATAAATTTACAATGATAAGAGGATTCACAGAAATTCGCAAAAAAATAATAACGCAGTACTCACTGCAGTTAGTGACAGAGAGCGCATTTTCTCAAAATCGACGAAAACATGAAGTCATAGATAGACATACAGACGGACGGACAGACGGACATGACGAGCATAATAGCGCCTTTTTTCCATAAATGAGAAAATGCGCTAATAAGAGAAGGTAAGAGATTTTACACAGGTGAGCGAGAAACTTAAGAAATTATGGACACTTTTCGATAGGCAAAAAACTCGATCACGATAAAGAATTTCAACCGCTGAAAGGAGAGGTACAAGGAGACTGCGAAATTTTATGGATCAAAACATTATTATATAGATAAAAAAATATTGAACGGAGATCGATTTTTTATTAAAATGAACGTCGAACGAATCTAAGTTTTGTCTAATTGAACTGGATCGGTGTTTAAAATTTAAATTTTAATGTAAATGTTAAAACTAAACTGTAACTATCTAGCAGCAAATGGCGCTATATTTAATACTAGCTATCGCAACCTAAATATTCCCCTCATGGTTTGAGGATTCAAAAACATCCGTTGATGCTTTTCGTGGTTTTTAGGCAACTGATTCCAACTATCCACTACTCAAAAGCAGAGAGCTAATAAACTAAATAAATAGTCTATGAGCGGCAGTGAAGATGCCACTAAATAAAAAACTGCTGCAATATCATAATAAATAGCCAAATATAACCTTTGGTGCAGGTTTCTTGCTAGAGTTTTGAGCGATATCAAGATGGGAGATAAGTTCCAAAGAAGCATCCTGTCGCGGACATGAAGAAATTTGTGATATTTTTTACCAGGAGATTATATTATATTTTTTAATTATATTTTTTTTATCCCCACACACACACGCGTCTTTGGGCACAGAAGACAAAATTATTTTATAGAAAACCGACAAATGAGAAGTAATTCAGAGTAAAAATATTGTCTCTCTAATGTAAGGAACTACAATAATCGTCCTAGAAATCTCCATCAGCTAAGAATACTCTTTCACCATAGAAAAATTTAGAAATACCTAGAAATCTCGAAGATATGTGATTACTTCTCAACCAATCATACTAAAATAGTGTATGAAAGTGACTTTGACACAATTCTAAGAGGTAGAGAATAGTTTACCACTCGGTATTTTATTAGTGTATTTTATTAGTGTATTTTATTAGTGTATTTTATTAGAGAGTATTATCCTAGTGTATATACTAGTGTATCTTACTAGTGTATTCTACTAGTGTATTTTACTAGTGAATTATATTAGTGTATGCAATAACAGCGCCTGACCTGTCCGTGTCTCGCTCAAGGCTGCTGACGGTCTGCTTGTTGTACGCGACTTTATTGATGTATTGTTTTATTAGTGTATGCAATGTGTATTAGTGTATACAATAATACATTAGTGTATTAGTGTATGCAATAATAGCGCCAGACCTGTCCATGTCTCGCTCGAGGCTGCTGACGGTTTGCTTGTTATACGCGACTTTATTGATGTATTGCTTTATTAGTGTATGCAATGTGTATTAGTGTATACAATAATACATTAGTGTATTAGTGTATGCAATAATAGCGCCAGACCTGTCCATGTCTCGCTCGAGGCTGCTGACGGTTTGCTTGTTATACGCGACTTTATTGATGTTTTGTTCGAGCTGCTGCCACTTCTGCTTCGCGGCTTTGGGGGAGTACACCAGGCTGGGCTGTAGGCCTTCTGCAATAAATTTCATATTAATATGGCAAATAACGTGACCAGAAATTACTAACGTGTAATTGCTCTACAAAAAAATATGTAATGCTGTAAAAAAAAGATTCGAGACAAGAATTACAAACATGGAACTGCTCTGCAAAAAATTGGTGATGCTGTTAAAAAATAATAAAATTCGAGACGAGAAATTATTTAGATGGAATTGTTCTACAAAAATCGGTAATGCCATAAAATAATAAGATTCGAGACGAGAAATTATTAAGAGGAAATTGCTGCACAAAATATCTGTAATGGCGTGAAAAAGTATGAATCGATCTCTGTATGGAATAATATAATTTACAAGACTCGGCCATACAAACACCGTAAATAGATTACAAAAATCCGACTTTATCAAGGATGAGAAGAAATAAATGAATGAGACATGAAGTTGGAACTGCGGCAGCCCATAGCAGTGAGGTAGAATGGAAGAGAAACTAACATAGACACGATATAGATACTCGAAGTCTATACTTATTAAGCGATAATGTCCAAGTATGGCGCACCAAACAAACTAAAACTTAGATCATTCATCTCCTCAAATCACAAGTAAACCAGATATTTTAAAGCAAAGAAAAGTTTTAATCTCTTTCTTGTATCTTTCGATTTTCCGTTATGATAATACATGTACTTTCTACATTTTCCATGCATTTTATATTATATATTAAAATTTATGTATTGGATCATTTAAAATCGCAAGTTCACCCAGTATTTGGAAGCAAATAAAAGTTTTAATCTCTTTCGTATATCTTTCGAATTTTTGTTCTGGTTGTACTTGTAATTTCCACATTTTCTTCATGCAATTGATATTATATATTAAAATTTATGTATTAGATAATTTAAAATCGCAAGTTCACCAAATATTTGAAATCAAATAAAATTTTTAATCTCTATCATATATATTTTGATTTTTTGTTCTCATTGTACATATACTTTTTATATTTTTTCCAAGCATTTTATATTTTATATGTTAAAATCTATGTACGGTATAGATTTTATATCTTAATCAGTGGCTCACTTTTTCTTATCCTGCCAGAGGCTTTATCGCTGAGTCCCTGGCGAGGAACCTTCTTGAGCACGGCGATCTCCTGAGTCTTGCGTTTAAGTACGATGTTCTTAAGGCGGTTCTCAGCCTCGAGGTTCTTAATGAGATTCTCCTTCTTGAGCGTCTCTTTACGCAGCTGCGCGATCTCGCGATTTTTCTTCACGTCTTCTTTCTTCGCGCGCGAAGAATCCTCCTTCATTTTGTTCATTAGCTAAGGAAAGAAGAAGAACATATATTCCCACAAATAAAAAATATATATATATATATATATTCCCATTAATAGAAATTATATTCCAATTAATAAAAAGAACTTTCAATTCCTAAAAAATGCATATATTCCAATTGGTAATAAGGAAAGCTAGAATTTAAAAGAAATATAAAACATTTTCATTAAATATTTTTTAATGACTACTTACTCTGACTTTAGCCTTCTTCACGTCGGCACTTACCCTGACTTCAGCCTCCAAGTCGACCACTTTCCCAGACTTTGGCCCTCTTTATACCGTCCACTCACCCTGACTTTAGCCTTCTTCATGTCGGCGAGGTCTGCCTTGAGCGCCTTGAGCTGCCGCTCGTGCTGGGTCTTCTCCTTCATAACCTTGGCGTGCTCCTTCTGCGCGCTCTGCATTTTCTTCAAGTCCTTCTGCAGCAGCCCGATCTTGCGCTCGTACTCCAGCTTGATCTGCCTAGCCTTGTCGTCACCAGCGTTACCGCCAGGCTTCAAGTTAGACAGCACCTGAGAAGAAGTAACAGCGTTATGCTTTGTCGTCACCAGAGTTATCCTTGTCACTTGAAAAAGTAACAGCGTTGGAGTCTCAGAACAATGATTTTCGACGAGTAAAGTTACAGCGTTGGCAGAGGAGCCGTGAGTGCGAAAGATGTTTATCAGTCAAACTTACATGGAGGAAAAGTAAAATCATACGTCCAGCTAAGTGTCTGCAAGTACACAGTTCACATATCGACTACATTTATCCTCTCTCAACAAAAGTCTTAGACAAGTAACTATTGGAAAATTTCTTTTCGATAATTAAATAGACTGACCAAAAAGTAAATGGAGGGCCGCTCTAAAAATTGTTTCCATATTATGTTATTTAACTTTGATGTTGGCTCTAAGAAAATTAAACCCAACTTATATCGGTTACAAATTTACTAAATAGTTCGATTTTCCTGAAGAGAACATCAATTGCAGGCGCACCAAGACGATAATAAGATCGCATTCATATAAGAACAAGAAAACAATAATACGAGATTGAAACTGCTTTACGACAGGAATAAAAGTACATCAATATGAGAAAATGACCGCGGTAAGACGAAAACAAGAGCTCATTATTACAAAATAAGACCGCATTAACCAGAGAATCAGGCAGCATTAATATGAGAAACAAACAATTATTACAGGGACGTTACAGCACTGACATGAGAATAAGAGCAGCATTAAGATGAACCTAAGAGCAGCATTTATATGCGAATATGAGCAGCATTGAGATGAGAATAAGAGCAGCATTAAGATGAACATAAAAGCAGCATCTATATGCGAATATGAGCAGCATTAATATGAGAATAATCCCAGAATTAATACAAGAATAATACCTTATCCCTCTCGTCCTGCGTAGCCCTGATCCTGTTCATAAGTACAGCGAGCTTCTCCTCGTACTGCTGGCGCATGGTCTCCAGACGCCGCTGGCTCTGCTCCAGCCCCTCGATCAGCTTCTGCTTCAGCGAGATCTCGCTCGTCAGGTCTGCTAGCTCTTCGTTGTAGTTCTCTGCGGGGGGATTATAGTTAAAGTAATAAATAAAATTATTGATTTGATTTCATTAATTAATGATTAATGAAATAAATAATGATAAAATAAATTTGTAAGACCATAAAATGGTCTTGCACAATGAATATCTTAGATGCGTCTAAACTGACGATGTAAGAGCAAAAAAAATTATACTCAAGTTAATAAATAAAGTGGTCTTTCAAAATGATTATCTTGGAGTCATTTAAACTGAGGATGTAAAAGCAAAAGGTGTAATAGATATATGCTTGTAAACATGTAGGATATGTATTATTTTACCGTGCAGATTATAAGCCACCTTATAAGCGGTGTCTAGCTAATTTTAGGGTATTTATTAACCCAGGAACTTGATTCGTATTTTTTTCCAGGAATTTATAAGCAAAGAAAATACCACAAAAATTCACCATATCTTTATAAGAGAAAACGTTTCGGAGTCCAGCTCCATCGTCAGTTCAAAACACAAAATTCTGTTCAGAAAAAGTTCAGTCCTAGAAACACAAATAAATCAATTAGTAAAGTAAAATGCACTAAAAATAAATAGATAAGACATGAAAATAATGCTAGTAAACGTAAACGGCCTATCTATTCACTATTTCAAGAGGAAAGGAGCTAAAAGCGGCATTCAGACTAGGCTTCTGATTGAATATATACAGGGATTCTAAAATGCGTAGATCACTTTGTAGAATTTTTGTAGCATTTTCTTAGCTTTTAAATTCCTGGTTAACTTGCGATTCAAGCAAACAAGTGATTTTAGTATTTTTTTTATCCTATTGCGACCAAAATTCCAAGGCAGTGAATGGCTCCAAAGACACGACGTGTTAGATATGAAGAACTACAGTGACATTTACAGAGGCATGACACGAGAAAAATAAATGTATGGTTCGACACGAGACAAATAGATACATATTGATTAATGCAATGAAAACTAAGGATTTATTTCTACAGTGAAATTTTACAAAATATTTATTTAGGTGGTCACTTACTAAGAATTCTTTATATTTAATCAATATTAAATCGATCAATGTTGCTGACATTGCTATATATTCTATATTCACAGTGTTGCCCAACTTCGTGTACTCTAGAAAACAGTGATGAATTCTCCATCACATGGTTCGTTTAAAAACGCATCTATAACAACACTCTGCCACTAGAAGCCGAATAGGCAGTTAAATGATAATTTATAGGAATGCAAAATATATAATTGAAAGTGAGGATATTATAGGAGCGGTAGGTGACTGGACGAGGCTAAATAATATATAATAATATAAAGGACAATATTATTATTATTATTATATGAATAATAACGAAGGTTGTGCGGGCCACTACCCACAAACAGCACTCAAGAGACTGATGGAGGGACTGTATGTCTCAGAGCTCATTATTGCTTAACGATACACGATATAAGTGAAGAAATTACCGAACAAAAGCCTAGTTGTGCTAAAATAAAAGTCGGAGAACCGGGACACGGAATAGAGGAGCTAAAACCTGGAAAAATTTCTGGGGAGAAGCTGAAATAATCAGGCCAAAAAAGGAGCTAAAAAGAGTAGAAGGCAAAAAATATGAGAAAGCAGAAAGAAGAGGAAACAAAATAAAAGGAGATAACATAAGAGCAGAAGAGAACATTGAGGAAAAAAGGGGCAAAGAGGTGAGAAGTTGTGAAGTAGAATGGCGGGAACTAAAGCTTCGACGGTGTAGCTCAATGCACAATAAAGCAATTAATAAACAATTAAAACATTAATAAAATTGAACTAAACTAGCAGGTTCACCACAAGAACTACCTGAACAGAACTCCTCGTCTGAGTCGTCCTCTGAGGCGAGAACGAGGAAGAGAAATGCAGAAAATATAATTAGGATTAAAATATAATTAGAATTAAAATTCAATTAGGATTAAAATTTAATTAGGATAAAAATTTAATTAGGATTACATAGACCATGAAGACTCGACAATTTATCCTCTCAGCCACGAAAGGAGACAAAAGACGATCATACTTTTATTGTATGAAAACTAAGAATTATTACAAAATAATTAAAGTGTTATTACAATAATAGTTGTTTGCAGAGAACTTCTATTTATTAACTTGGTAAGCTTCAAATTTATCTATTGATGCACTTATCACAACGCAAGATACGACTATTAAGTGAGCTGTGTCGTGACAATTATGATGATCATTATATATTAATTTATTTATTAATTATAATTATAACTTTCAAGAAATAAATTTCTTTTCTCTTCAATTTCAAAAACAAAAACACAAACACCAATGAAAAAACCTTGCCTCTAACAATATCTGTTTCCTCACCTTTATCCTCACTGCTTTCATCTGAACTTTCTTCTTCATCTTCCTCCTCTTCATCCTCCACCTCTTCCCCAGCCTCGCCTTCTTCCATGTTCTCATCACCGTTTTCTGTCTCGTTCTCTTTATTATTCTCGGTATCTGCGTCTTCGTTGTTCCTGTGTACGGTCTCGGGGCCGAAGAGCGTACGGGATAATTTCTTTTTCCGTTTCTTGGGCGCGGAAATTTCGCGCATGTCTTTTTGCAGGTCGTGCTTAGCCTCCTCGATGAGCTCAGCGATGCTGTTGGGGCCGCTGCCTTCCTCCACGCCCTCCATCAGTGAACCTGGCATGCGAACAAATTCAAATCCATTTGCATTTGAACAAATTCAAATCCGATACATTTGAATTCGAACAAATTCCAATGCAATCCATCTGGATAATTTAACTGCGAGCTAAGGCATTTTGTAGCTTGCTTCATGCATCATCACATTTATTACCTAAACCTGTAGCCATAGATCAGTGAACCTGGGATTTGAACAAATTTAAATGCAATCCATTTGCATTTGAACAAATTTAAATGCAATCCATTTGGATTTGAACAAATTTAAATGCAATCCATTTGGATTTGAACAAATTCAAATGCAATCCATTTGCATTTGAACAAATTTAAATCCAATCCATTTGGATTTGAACAAATTCAAATGCAATCCATAATAAATTCAAATGCAATCCATTTGGATTTGAACAAATTCAAATGCAATCCATAATAAATTCAAATGCAATCCATTTGGATGCGAACAAATTCAAATGCAATCCATAAGGATTTGATTAAATTCAAATGCAATCTATTTGGATGCTAACAAATTCAAATCCAATCAGCATACGAAAAAATTACTGCAAAGCGAATAAATAAATATACAAGAAAAATAATTCGATCCGAATCAGGCTTGCACCTAATACACGCGAAGGAAATTAACCTTCAAATTAAACCGTAATGATGCTTATACGATACAGACATTATTAATGCTCATGAATACAATTATAATTAATACGATTACTCATTGCGACGTTCTTCCCCGATGGAATTGATGGTTGATACTCGATAATAAATAGTAATGTTATATCAATGATCAAAGGTAGCATAGGGTTACCAATGACGAAAAAATGATTTCAGACAGTAATATTAATAGAATAATATTAGTAATATATGGAACAAAATGCAAAAAATAATGCATGAAACGGCAGCATAGAGTTACCTATGATTGAACAAATTATTTCAGGCAATAATTTTAATAGAATAATATTAGTAATACATGGAACATAACCCCAAAAAATAATAAATAAATGGTATAGAATAACATTAGTAACATATTGAAGAAAATCCAAAAAATAATAGATGAAATGGTAGCATAGAGTTAACAATATTTAAACAAACTATTTCAGACAATAATATTAATAGAATTTTTATTAGTAATGGAACAAAATCCAAAAAATAATACATGAAATGGTAGCATAGGGTTACCTATGATTAACCAAATAATTTCAGACAATAATATTACTAGACCAATATTATTAATACATGGAACAAAGTCCAAAAAACGACACGCAACGAAGACTCACCCGACATAGGCACATGTACGAGGGGTGACACAGAGAGCCTGGCATTGGCCCTGTTGTTGACCTGCTTCCTGAGCTGCTGGCACACTTGCTCAGACTCGCACAGCTTAGCTCTGAGCTCCTCTATCTCCTGCAGGTATCCCTGTATCAGACTTGTAATGTCTGATCCTGCGCCCTCTGTGTCGTCACCGTCAGCAGACACCCACTGGCCGGTGGCTTTCTCAGCGAGCAGTGCGGTGTTCTTGGCGGTGAGAACATCGATGGTTTCTTGCAGCGCCTTGACGCGCGTGCGTAAATTGCCGCACTCGACGGCAAGCATTTGGTTCTCGTGGTACATGTCGTTGACTGCCTCGCTGCCGTCCTGGCTCACAACGCGCTTGCCCTGCAGTACGTAATTCACAAAAATAATTACTTTAATTTTCTTGAAAGTAAACGCATAATCGTTTTGGCGCGCCACGTTTACGCTGAAAATTAATTGCTGCTGTCCTGACTCACAACGCGCTTGCCCTGCAGTAAATCAAAAAAAGAATGACTTTAACATCGCTCAGCTGGATCTGTATGACCAGCACTCCACGCACCTGTCTGTACTCCAGCTGTATGACCAGCACTCGACGCACCTGTCTGTACTCCATGAGCTGGATCTGGAGCTGCTGGATCTCCATCCTAAGCAAGGCGATGGTCTTGCTAGTCTTGTCCTGGTTGACTGTCACTCTGTTCTTGATGTTGCGCGCTCGGTTCGCGTACTTGAGCGTATTGAGCGTCTCCATAAAGTCCGTGTCGCTCGGTGAGATGCACGCTATCATCACAGTCTGGCTGTTGCCTACGACGCAAAATCGAAGATTTTTACTTAATTAATTCATAAAACAATTTTTATTACCTTGATCTGGCTGTTACCTGAGAGGTAAAATTGCAGATTTTACCAAGTTAAGTCATGAAATAGTCTATATGATTTTGATCTGGCTGTCGCCTGAGACGCAAAATTGCACATTTTTAACGCATTTTCTCATTTATGGAAAAAAGGCGCTATTGTGCTCGTCATGTCCGTCCGTGACTTCACGTTTTCGTCGGCGAGAAAATGCGCTCTCTGTCACGCACTGCAGTGAGTACCGAGTTATATTTTTCTAAGTTAATTCATGAAATAACTTTAACGATTTTAATCATTGCGGTTTGAGGAAGTTTCATTGAGAATATTTGCTATGACATCGGATTTGTAAAGTTCGAGTTGCCGAAAAAATCAAACTTATATTAATAAACTTATTTTATAAACTTATTATTATTATAAAAATCAACAAAAATTGAATCGTTGTCTGTGTGCAAAGTCAAATTTAAAATAAAAATAACATATATTAAATAGCACACCTCCGAGGGAGTCTTGTAGCAGTCGCGTGAGTTTCGAGTCTCGGTATGGGACGTGAGAAGCCTTCTTCGTAACGTCGCCCAACGCTGAGATGACGTTGCCTAACGCTAACTGAAAAACAGACGCAGCATTCACAAGCGTTATATCAGAATTACTCGTGAATGTGACATGAATTCACAAGCGTTACATCAGAATTACTCGTGAATGTGAGATTAATTCATTCACGAGCTTTCAGAATCTACTATTACTTAATCAATACTTTGGAAGATAGGAGGCGATGGACTAACGTACTAATCTCATCAAAACCAAAAAATAGATTGTACCTTAACTGAATCGCGTATAGCAAACAATGGTCATACATAGCTTTTATAGTAGAACTAAAAAACAGACCGCACAAGACCAAACGGACCAAGTCTTCAAGTTTTCCACTTGTCGAAGTTTGCCAGTTTTGCAACAATTGCCAAATTTTCAGCAATTGCAGTTTTACAACAATTGCCAAATTTTCAGCAATTGCAGTTTTACAACAATTGCCAGATTTGCAGCAATTGCCAGTTTTGCAACAATTGCCAAATTTGCAGCAATTGCAGTTTTACAACAATTGCCAGTTTTGCAACAATTGCCAGTTTTGTAACAATTGATGCAATTTTTTGTAACAATCGCAACTCACAAGTCCACAGCTGCACTCACAAGTCCACAGCTGCACTCACAAGTCCACAGCTGCACTCACAAGTCCACAGTTGATGGAGATGCTCTCCCTAGCGCGGTCGCCCGTGGCGCCCGTCCTCTTGAGACGCTCAGACCCCGCCAAGTCCACGAAGTGGAATTTGGCCGTCAATGTCTCAAACTCAGGCAACGCGTTACTGCTGTCACCCAGACCTTCTTGCTCCTCCTCCCCATCCTGTGATAAAAGCAACGTAGTCGTCAACAATGATAGATATTGTAAGTTTTTTTTGGCCAGTGGTTACAGTTCAGAGTACCAGGATTGGCGCAGAGAGGCGCGGGTTCGATCCCAGCTCTGTGCGCCAGTGTCTGGTCAGAATCGGCGAGGAGGCCGGGCGGTTAAGCACAGCAGAAATGTAGCAGTGAATTGCGAGTTCGAGACCGCAAAATACTATGAATGTTCTGCGATGTTAAGAATCGGCGACAGGCCTACGGCCTACTAAACGCTGAAACCGCTATATTTATTATTATTAAACTTTCCATCAGGTTCCATATTTTGTGCTAGCAACTCCAGAAGTTTTCCGTTGCTCCGGAGATACATTTCTTGTATTCATTAAAGCGACTATGTTACATACATTCACACTGTGAAATAGTCCGTAACTTGATCTTGATGAAGGAATAAGCCTTTCGTTACCACAATAAATAACTGAATAACAATAATAATTTAATAATTTATTGCCTATAATAACTGATATACTGATGATAAAAGCGATTATACTACCATAACTGATGATATAAGTGATTATACAACTATAATTAATGATATAAGCGATTAACTGATGATATAAACAATTAACTGACCTGAGGCTCTGCAAGTCTCTGCTGTGTGATGTTGATGGTGAAGACAGCATGAGATCTGCTGCTCTGAGCGTTCATGTTGGTAGATTAACTGACCTGTGGCTCGGCAAGTCTCTGCTGTGTGATGTTGATGGTGAAGACAGCATGAGATCTGCTGCTCTGAGCGTTCATGTTGGTAGATTAACTGACCTGTGGCTCGGCAAGTCTCTGCTGTGTGATGTTGATGGTGAAGACAGCATGAGACCTGCTGCTCTGAGCGTTCATGTTGGTGGAGGCCGTGGTGCGGCTAAGAGCGCCCGCCCTCAGGCACTGCATGGCCTCCTCCACGCAGCTCACGGCGCGCGTCGTGATCCCCGACACGTAAATGCCTCCGCTCGAGTCTTCGTGGATACGGACGGAGCTTTTGCCTATGCCCTGTAGGTCATGTTTGTTGTTAATGCATATATAAAATAATAAGTGATGCTTGTTATTAATACATTAGTGAAATGCCTCCGCTCGAGTCTTCGTGGATACGGACGGAGCTCTTGCCTATGCCCTGTAGGTCATGTTTGTTATTAATGCATGAATAAAATAATAAGTCATCTTTATTATTGATACATGAAGAAAATAATAAGTCATGTTTGTTATTAATACATTAATAAAATAATACGTGATGTTTTGTTATTAATACATTAATAAACTAAAGATTGTTTATTAGTGGATGAGAACTGAGCTCTATAGCTCACACCCTGCAAGTGATGTATATTGCAGTTAGTTAAGTCGTGTTATGATGAACAGATATCAAGTATTTATTTAATTCGGGTTTGATAAATAGAGAACGAGTGGTAGATTAAAAACAATTCAATACAAACTTGCATGCAGAACAAATTGAAGGCAATAAAAATTAGCCGATGATTGTCAAATTAAACGAACCCTAGTCCTCCATGAGTAAGCAATAATTGGAAAAAATCTATTAAATACAATGAATTTACAAAATGCAATACCTTGAAAGCAGGATCGAATAGATCAATAACTTCTTCATTGTAAAGCTCCATAAAATGTGCAGTGACTTTAAATTCAGGCGGAGTTTTCTGTTGTTCCAGAGCCTCCCTTCTTCTCTGGGAGATGCCCTCGAAAAGATGGTTCATGGCCCGGGGCACGATGCCCTGAAGGTCTGCAGACAACGAGTCCACCTCTAGACCTGTGCCCATCGTGTAGGTCTTGCCAGACCCCGTCTGAAATCAACATGAAACATATGATTAACTCAACATTATCTAATTCAACACGCAGAGGTTGTGAAACTCAACATTCGTGCATGGTAAAATGAATTCATTTCCAGCGGTCGAAAACGTCGACTCTAGCTCGGCAAAGGCATTGGTCAATTATTCGTGAGTAAAAATGGTATAATTTTTTTTACACGGATGCACGTTGTAGTGTATTCACTTTTCCATAAACAGTACCGGTAGTCGATAACTATAACTGAACTTGGGAGGGATATTCACGAGTCATCAAGCAATAATCGTGAAGCTTTACTCGAATTGGAATTGGGTGCGTGCTGATTTCCGGTCACGACCTTTAAACTGGTCATACACGCGCTGCTTCACTAGCTATAACTTAGCTCTTTTACTAGCGTCAAGAAATTTTACGCTGCATAAAAGCTCTTTACTAGCTTTTACTTAGCTTATTTACTATATGGCGTCCAAAAATTAAAATATTCACTCAAAACTCACCTGCCCATAGGCCAACACGGTGGCGTTGTATCCTTTGAAGCATCCCTCGATGAGGCCGTGAACACACTTGTGGTAGACGTCCTCCTGCTGCGTGTCCATGTCGAAGACGTGGTCGTACGTGAAGGCTTTGTCAGACCCTAGCCACACCTGCGGCTCACCGGGCGTTACAGACGTGCACACGCGGCACATCTCGATCACCTCGCGCGCGATCTGGGGTCGCACCCTGCAACAAATATAAGCAAATTAATCGCAATTAGTACGAACAAAATTATATTAATCAACCTGTCTGTACTCCATGAGCTGGATCTGTATGACCAGCATTACACGCTGAGGTGACATTCCACAATCCTGCATCAACATCTACGTTAATTCATTCATTATACAGATCCATTCGAAATAATGGATCTGTAGCAGCACTGTCAAAAGATTCAAAAGAGCATTCATAAGCTAAAAGTCAATGTTTTGGACCCGTATTTGCTAGTCAAATCGGAAAAACCGTAAGCCTACATTTTTTGTCATACAATGATTGTAGTCAAGTTACGCGAAAAGGCAAGTGCAATTTAATAAGGTCTCCATAATTAGCATGAGTAACCTGGCACGACCTGCAATACCTATGAGTAATCTGGTACGAATAACATGCAAAATTGGAAGATTCAATAATTTAAACAGGTGTTTATCTAACCGCAACGCAATCGCACTTCATTTATTACATGGTGACTCACTGAAAGTTCATCGACACGTCACTAACTCACCAACAAAATAGGAAGGAAGCAAGGCACTGCCAGTATTGGCAAGCAGCAATCACGAGACTGGCAGTAAAGCAATTCGTTAGCAGGCGTAAGGCTTGGAGAAGCGAGTGATGGTGCAGCAGATCCTTATAATAGAATCAGTCCATGACAAGCTTCGGAGTCAAACAAGGCAAAGTTTACGAGCTTCAGGAGCCTCGCTAAACTCCCATTTTTGGATCGTGTGCAATGACCGCGCATGCCTTACCTAGCGCACACGTTACGTAGCTGGACATGTGAAGCTATATGAAGCTATAGAGGCCACAGTCCATCAACCAAAGATTCCCATATGAAGCTATGGAGGCCATCGTCCATCAACCAAAGATTCACATATGAAGCTATAGAGGCCATCGTCCATCAACCAAAGATTCCCATATGAAGCTATGGAGGCCATCGTCCATCAACAAACTATTTTCAAACTATTAATTCTGCCAAATATTTTAACGTCCCAAGTAATACAGTCACGAAATTTTACTTATCTGTTCGGCTCAATCAGAGCCAAAAAACTGAATATTTCCATACATTTTCCTCATTCAGAAACAATGATTGAGGCGTGGTGAAAAGTACAACGGTATTTAAAATTATTCTTACAGTCACGAGAGTCCACATGAGAATATCATGAGCGACATCTTCCCGATTTAGTGATATTCTATAATCCTAGTCATAGATGAAGTACATAATCAACATTAAAGAGAACGTGAAATCATATAAGCTATACACTCAAAATTTCAATTCCTGGTCTTTTGATAACTAAAATATATAATTCACTATCAGTTGATTCACCGATCACCGTGATACTCAACAACATAAATATCAGCATGTAAATGAGCGGCCAGTGAATATGTGTGCCTGACAGCGCTGCAGAATACAACACGGAAGGAGCGGCAACCTCAGCAATATTGATTAGCTCAGGGAGCCTGGGCTGCAGATTCTAAATAAAAGCAAATAATGATCAAATGCTGCGTGCTATAACGTCCCTGCTAGAGGTCACGGTAAAATATACGACCCTAAAATTGGGGTAAAACCATTATAAAGATTGTTGGAGTTACCACAATTTTACTAATATAACGATAGTATTATTTCGACAAATACGACTATTGCTTCTTCGATAACTGTTAAATTGTGAAAAACAGGTTGTTATGCACAACCTGTTTACTCTCTTATAACCAAAATAACGATCATCGTGAGAACATTCGCGAATAGGAAACAGAAATTAGAATTTATATCACACATGTGCTCAAACAATTAGAATACTTTGGAAAATTTCACTGACAAGAGCATACTGCGTCCATATAATAGTGTCAAACTTATTATTATGTGTTATGTGAAGGCTTACACAATTACGTGAACAGAAGCGCTTGACGGGTTTGGTCCAATTAGTGGGAATAGAAGATTAAAATTAGGCACATTACCACCGCAGACTTAATCAAGTACGTTCCTATAAGTGTATTCAATAGAAAACGTCTGTTCTTAAAATTCTATCACTTCAGTGGGCTACGCACTATACGCTTTGATCTAAAACTGCTATACAATTTTTATGTGTGTGCGGCGTTGAGTTAAGTGCAATTCAAATAATAGAATAGCGCACTGACGATTATTGCCAATATTTTCCATTATCATGCAGCTATAAATTCACATGTAAATTAAATAACTATAAATAAATTCATGAACTATTAACATCTGTAGAGTATAAGTTTCAACGCACCTGATGACCTCGCTCGCGCGCGACGCCTCCATGTTTCAACGGCAAGGTGAAGCGCACGTGTCGACATTCGGGCAATTTATACACATAATTCAAATTATGTGTAGGTATAATTCATAATTCACGACATAATTCAAATTATTTTACAATTTTGACAATAATGAAACATAAAATGAGTAAAATATATTTATCGTGGTATTTTAACTGTTCTTAATGAATTATGTGCGCAATTGAATTTTTACGCATTTTACTAACACCTTTAATATTGCTTACGAAGACATCCTTAAACCTACTGAAATTGCACATTACGTTGACCATTTCCACTGATTAAACACTTAAAACCTTTCAAAAGTTATAGTAACATTTAGAGAACCCATTCAGATATCAAAGACAAGCTAAGCTCACTAACTTGGAACAAAATATTCAGAACAGAAATCGCTGCACTCACTTAAGTTTACTTAATACAACGACTTGTTTATTCTCGCTTGGTTTACCCACGAATTATCATCGTATATAAGTCATGTCTATTCTTCAATAAATAATATTTATTCAGTGAATAAGCAGAAGTTCGAGTTAAGAAAAAAAAAAAACTCCTCCAGTTATAGCGGCAGCAGTTCGCGCTGCCCACAGCATTCCTTCCCCCTCTAGCCCCTCCCCCTCCAGTTCACCTGTTCCTTAATTACTCCTCCTCCCTCTACCCCCTCCCCCCGCTTCCCTCGCGACCCTTGTTCTCGCAGCGACCAACTCCCCCCCCCCCTTGCCGCCCTCCCCTCATCCTAAACCAGTCGTACACCTCACATAACTCGTCATCATTGATACCTATTATCAATGAAATCTTCATATTTTTTGCTACATTAATTTTTCTACATTAAATCATAGTGAAATTCCAAATACCCTGCGCCGCCCCCCCCCCCATATATCGTTAGCCAGTCGTAGACACGACGTAACTCCTCTCGTTAACCCTAGCTATTACATCCATGAAATTATCATTGAAATATTTAGTTTGTAAGTACATTAATTGTTCTATATCCAATCATGGCGAAATTCCAAATACCCGAGCATAGGTATTTGGGTATTTACACCCTATATGGTTGGCTAGTCGTAGACGCGACATAACTGCTGTCGTAGTCTGAACGTTGGCCGCCATTGCAAGACGCACAAGTTCATTCAAGCGCAGCAGCGGCCACCTGGTGGTTGCCCGCGTGTGTATACGGCCCATCTTTGGCCAGCTGCAGCTCAGCAAACACGTGTGGTTAAGAGAATCAAACGCGCCTCCGTCAACAAATGCAAGTCTTGCGGACTAGAATCTGGTACGCAGAATCAGTAGCTACCAGTAAAGTAAGGTGATGAGCGTATTTACGGTAATTATCACGACAGTGTCTGAAATTTGTGGAAGCTATCTTATGGGGGCAAATTAACAGCAATATCTCGTAAAGAAAATTACAACTATCACGATATTACGGAAGCTCTAAAATGTAACTTTGGCCCTACGTTTTTTACCATGTCACAATCGCGGTATTGTTTTTTTTCAATAAACCGACTACGACAAGATCTTGGGTGATGACGAATGAACTTAAATTGACATAGCCGTCTCAATTCCAAAAAGAAAACAGCTTTTTAAATTACACAATTCTGCTGGTAGGCGTAAATGAATCTGCATACATTGCACCTGACATCAACGTAGTGGAGACCATGCCTGAATGAGAGAAGGACTCCTTATTTGGTGCAGTGATACCAGGCTACTGGAGCGCGACTGCATTCTCACACCTGCGCCGGCTTCCCAGAAGTTACTACAATGATCTCTAGTGCTGTGATGATCTATATTAATATGAACTTCATTGAGTGATTGAAGGATACATACGAGAAACCTCACTGCTAACTTATTTATTGGGGGGAAAACATCAACCGTGAACAATGTTATGCGTATGTAAGGTCTGGTAACTATATATAATTGCTATCCGTACATGCAAAGTGTCAATTGTAATGGACTGTTCCAATTTGGGGACAGGTAGAAGAGATAAAAAGGACAGATAAGGATAAATAAGAACAGTTAGAAGCAAATTTTAAAATAATTCAGCAAAAATTTTTAATTTTACACATAAAAATTTACTTAAATAATACAAGTTTACAAGTTTGATTCACACGTACCTAATGGAGGGAACACGGGACCAATGAGTTGATAGGAAAATAGAGGAAAAAATCCGCTCATTTTTAACTACACATTACAAGAACAATTCCGTTGCGAGCCGAATGCCATGCACTTAAAATATATAAAGGAGCTCAATACTTAAGCAATCGCAAACAAAATACTTGGAGCAGCACTTCGCAAATGTACGCATAATATAATATTTTGTCAATATTGTCATCTAGGCTTCGTTGAAAATGTTTTTTCAGTGATGAATGTGATACTGACAATGTAGCGTAATGAGAAGCGTCCGTAATAGTACACTTCATTTACCCGGTCGGCTATTGATCACACAGACAATCGATGGAGCTGCACAAGTCGGGGGGCCATCCTTTGTTATCCTATAACGCGGCTACACGAGTCAAGTACGTTGTTCAATGGCTCGGGGTGACACACAAAAAGCAGAGAGAAAAGACAAGGTTGAATAAAGTATTTTAGGAGGCATAGGAACACAGAATATATTATTTTTTAAACCATCAAGTATTTTAAGACACATAGCAACACAGAAATATATTCATTCATAAAACCACTGAATTATGAGCGGCACCATA